AGGAATTTCCCTCTTTATAAGAAGTTTTTAAAGGAATTTCCTTTTTTTGTTTTTTAAGGGATTTTAAAGGGTTTTTTTTAAAGGAATTTCCCTTTTTTTGTTTTTTAAGGGATTTTAAAGGTGTTTTTTAAAAGGAATTTCCTACTTTTTAAAGAGATTTTTAAAGGAATTTCCTTCTTTTTAAGGAGTTTTTTAAAGGAATTTCCTCCTTTTTAGGGAGATTTTTAAAGGAATTTCCTTTTTTGTTTTTTAAGGGATTTTAAAGGGTTTTTTTTAAAGGAATTTCCCACTTTTTAAGGAGTTTTTTTAAAGGAATTTCCATCTTTATAAGAAGTTTTTAAAGGAATTTGTTTTTCTGTTTTTTAAGGGATTTTAAAGGGTTTTTTTTAAAGGAATTTTCCACTTTTTAAGGAGATTTTTAAAGGAATTTCCCACTTTTTAAGGAGGTTTTTAAAGGAATTTCCTTTTTTTTTTTTAAGAAATTTTAAAGGGTTTTTTAAAAGGAATTTCCTTCTTTTTAAGGAGATTTTTAAAGGAATTTCCCACTTTTGAAGGAGTTTTTTTTAAAGGAATTTCCATCTTTATAAGAAGTTTTTAAAGGAATTTGTTTTTTTGTTTTTTAAGGGATTTTAAAGGGTTTTTTAAAAGGAATTTCCCACATTTAAGGAGTTTTTTTAAAGGAATTTCCTTTTTTGTTTTTTAAGGGATTTTAAAGTTTTTTTTTTAAAAGGAATTTCCCACTTTTTAAGGAGTTTTTTTAAAGGAATTTCCCTCTTTATAAGAAGTTTTTAAAGGAATTTCTTTTTTTGTTTTTTAAGGGATTTTAAAGGGTTTTTTTTAAAGGAATTTCCCACTTTTTAAGGAGATTTTTAAAGGAATTTCCCACTTTTGAAGGAGTTTTTTTAAAGGAATTTCCCTCTTTATAAGAAGCTTTTAAAGGAATTTCCTTTTTTTGTTTTTTAAGGGATTTTAAAGGGTTTTTTAAAAGGAATTTCCTACTTTTTAAAGAGATTTTTAAAGGAATTTCCTTCTTTTTAAGGAGATTTTTAAAGGAATTTCCTTTTTTTTGTTTTTTAAGGGATTTTAAAGGGGGTTTTTTTAAAGGAATTTTCCACTTTTTAAGGAGTTTTTTTAAAGGAATTTCCTTCTTTTCAAGGAGTTTTGTAGAGCATTTTCATTTTTTAAAGGAATTGCTTTCTTTTAAAGCAATTTTTACAGGAATTTCCTTCTTTTCAAGGAGTTTTTAAAGACTTCCTTCTTTTCCTGTAGAAAAAGATCCCTTTAAATAAAAAATCCTTGAAAAAAAAAATTCCTTAAAAAGTGAAATTCCTTTAAAAAAAAAAAATCCTTTAAAAAAAGCGATTTCTTGGAAATTCTGATTTTTTTTTTTTCCCCTGAAAATGTCTCATTTATAATTTGATTTTTGTGGCAGAAATGTGAATTTTTTACCTTTTTCTTCTTCGTCACAGGGCAGCCCCGAGGTCTGTCATAAGCAATCCTGACAGGCTCATGCACTGCAAGGCAAACAAACACAAAATTCAGCTGGAAATTTAAATTATTTCAGGAAAACAACTCCAAAAAATCCATATTTTCAAGCTTAACTCAACCCCTGGACCTGGAACAGAAGCAATAAGAAGAATTAGAACAAGAAAAAAATCAGAATTAATTAAAAAAATTCAATTTATACTCTGAGAATATTGGAAGATGTTTGATATGAACTTTGCTGTTGGCCCAGAACACAAATGATTTGTTCAGCTTCTCCTTTTGGCTGCCTCAAATATTTAAAGTCAATTTTGTGTTCGTTTTTGTATGGAAAAATAGTCAATTTTGTGTTCGTTTTTGTATGGAAAAATTCCATTTTTAAGCAAAAAACACCTAAAAAAATCAGCATTTTTGCCCAAATCCCCTTTTATTTTATATATAAAAGTGAAATATCTCAGTGTTCACCCAACTTTGGGGTCAATTCAGCTTCTCCTTTGCCACTTGAATGAAGATTTAAAGTCAATTTTGTGCTCAGTTTTGTATGAAAAAACACCTAAAAAAATCAGCATTTTTGCCCAAATCCTCTTTTATTTTATTATAAAAGTGAAATGTCTCAATGTCCACCCACCTTTGGGCTCCTGAATTTAGTTCCTCCTTTGCCACTTGAATGAAGATTTAAAGTCAATTATGTGCTCGCTTTAATATAAAAAAATGCCATTTTTAAGTGAAAAACGCCTAAAAAATCAGCATTTTTGCCCAAATCCTCTTTTTTTCTATACAAAACTGAACCATTTCGATGTGCACCCACCTTTGCACTCCTCTATCAGGCAGATCCTTCGCCACTTGATTTGAAGTCAATTTTATTCTCACTTTAGTATGAAAAAATGCCATTTTTAAGCGAAAAACGCCTAAAAAAATCAGGATTTTTGCCCAAATCCTCTTCTATTTTAATACAAAAGTGGAATATCTCAATGTCCACCCACCTTTGGGCTCCTCAATTCAGCTTCTCCTTTGCCACTTGAATGAAGATTTAAAGTCAATTTTGTGCTCAGTTTTGTATAAAAAAATGCCATTTTTAAGAAAAAAGTTTTGTATAAAAAAATGCCATTTTTAAGAAAAAACGCCTGAAAAATCAGGATTTTTGCCCAAATCTCTTCTATTTTAACACCAAACTGAACCATTTCGATGTGCACCCACCTTTGCGCTCCTCTATCAGGCAGATCCTTCGCCACTTGATTTGAAGTCAATTTTATTCTCATTTTAGTATAAAAAAATGCCATTTTTTAAGCGAAAAACGCCTAAAAAAATCAGGATTTTTGCCCAAATCCTCTTTTTTTCTATACAAAACTGAACGATTTTGATGTGCACCCACCTTTGGGCTCCTCTATCAGGCAGATCCTTTTGGAAGCCGGGATCATCCCCACTTTCAGGGACTTGCTGCTGAATTTTGTATTAAAGAAATGCCATTTCTTAAAGAAAACACCTAAAAAATCAGGATTTTTGCCCAAATCCCCTTTTATTTTATATATAAAAGTGAAATATCTCAATGTCCACCCACCTTTGGGCTCCTCAATTCAGCTTCTCCTTTGCCACTTGAATGAAGATTTAAAGTCAATTTTATTCTCACTTTAGTATGAAAAAATGCCATTTTTAAAGCAAGAAAACACCTAAAAAATCAGGATTTTTGCCCAAATCCCCTTTTATTTTAATACAAAAGTGAAATGTCTCAATGTCCACCCACCTTTGGGCTCCTCTATCAGGCAGATCCTTTGCCATTTAAATGAAGATTTAAAGTCAATTTTATTCTCACTTTAGTATGAAAAAATGCCATTTTTAAGCGAAAAACACCTAAAAAAGTCAGGATTTTTGCCCAAATCCTTTTTTATTTTAATATAAAATTGAAATATCTCAGTGTTCACCCAACTTTGGGGTCAATTCAGCTTCACCTTTGCCACTTGAATGAAGACTTAAAGTCAATTTTGTGCTCAGTTTTGTATGAAAAAATGCCATTTTTAAGCAAAAAACGCCTAAAAAATCAGGATTTTTGCCCAAATCTCTTCTATTTTAACACCAAACTGAACCATTTTGATGTGCACCCACCTTTGGGCTCCTCTATCAGGCAGATCCTTTTGGAAGCCGGGATCATCCCCACTTTCAGGGACTTGCTGCTGAATTTTGTATTAAAGAAATGCCATTTCTTAAAGAAAACACCTAAAAAATCAGGATTTTTGCCCAAATCCCCTTTTATTTTATATATAAAAGTGAAATGTCTCAATGTCCACCCACCTTTGGGCTCCTCTATCAGGCAGATCCTTTGCCATTTAAATGAAGATTTAAAGTCAATTTTATTCTCACTTTAGTATGAAAAAATGCCATTTTTAAGCGAAAAACACCTAAAAAAGTCAGGATTTTTGCCCAAATCCTTTTCTATATTAATATAAAATTGAAATATCTCAGTGTTCACCCAACTTTGGGGTCAATTCAGCTTCTCCTTTGCCACTTGAATGAAGACTTAAAGTCAATTTTGTGCTCAGTTTTGTATGAAAAAATGCCATTTTTAAGCAAAAAACGCCTAAAAAATCAGGATTTTTGCCCAAATCTCTTCTATTTTAACACCAAACTGAACCATTTCGATGTGCACCCACCTTTGGGCTCCTCTATCAGGCAGATCCTTTTGGAAGCCGGGATCATCCCCACTTTCAGGGACTTGCTGCTGACTCTTTTGCGGGGGAATCGCGCGCCGGGGGCCGGGTTCGGTGCCTGTGTCGACAGATTTGGGACAGCAGCATCAGAGGGGCTGGAGAGCTGCATTTCACCTCCTGAAATCTCCTCTCCTGCTCTGGAAAGCAAATCTTCCTCTAGGTTTGTCACCCTTCTACCTGCTGCCACGTCCTCCTCATCCTCCTCATCCTCCTCCTCCTCGTCCCCCAGAGGTTGGGAGGTTTCAAACTCAGCTTCATCCTCTTCTTCTTCTTCTTCTTCTTCTTCTTCCTCTTCCTCGTCTTCGGAGACCTCCAGGGGTTTTGGGGTGGTTTTGGTGCTGTCTGAGGCCTCGGGGCTGAAGCTGATGGAGGGGCAGAGCTCGTAAACCTTCATCCGGTAAAATCTGAACGCGGAGCTGCTCTGGTCCTGCAGGAACCTGGGGTGAGGAAGGTTGGAAATGGAAAAGAAATGAATTAAAATGTAGGGGAATGAAGGTGAGAAGGCCAGGGGATTGAGGTGAAAGTTTAGGGAGGGTAAAGGTGGGAAGTCTGGTGAAAACGAGGTTGAAAATGGTGTTTTTTTTCAAATCCTGGTTTGAAGGTATGGTTAAAAATTTAGGGGAAATGAGGTTGAAAATTCAGGTTGAACTGGGGTCAAAAATTCAGGGGAAACAAGGTCAAAAATCCAGGTAAAACTGGGGTCAAAAATTCAGGGGAAATGAGGTCGAAAATTCAGGTTGAACTGGGGTCAAAAATTCAGGGGGCACAAGGTCAAAAGTCCTGAAAATGAAGGTAAAAAATTCAGGGGAAATGAGGTCGAAAATTCAGGTTGAACTGGGGTCAAAAATTCAGGGGAAACGAGGTCAAAAATCCAGGTAAAACTGGGGTCAAAAATTCAGGGGAAACGAGGTCAAAAGTCCTGAAAATTAAGGTAAAAAATTCAGGGGAAATGAGGTTAAAGATCCAGATCCAAGGGAAACTGGGTTAAAAAATTCAGGGAAGTTAAGGTCAAAAATCCAGGTAAAACTGGGGTCAAAAATTCAGGGGAAACAAGGTCAAAAATCCTGGAAATTAAGGTAAAAAATTCAGGGGAAATGAGGTCGAAAATTCAGGTTAAACTGGGGTCAAAAATTCAGGGGAAATGAGGTCAAAAGTCCTGAAAATAAAGGTAAAAAATTCAGGGGAAATGAGGTCGAAAATTCAGGTTAAACTGGGGTCAAAAATTCAGGGGAAATGAGGTCAAAAGTCCTGAAAATAAAGGTAAAAAATTCAGGGGAAATGAGGTCGAAAATCCAGGTAAAACTGGGGTAAAAAATTCAGGGGAAACAAGCTCAAAAATTCAGGTAAAAATGGGGTCAAAAATTCAGGGGAAATGAGGTCGAAAATTCAGGTTGAACTGGGGTCAAAAATTCAGGGGAAATTAAGGTCAAAAATCCAGGTAAAACTGGGGTCAAAAATTCAGGGGAAACGAGGTCAAAAGTCCTGAAAATTAAGGTAAAAAATTCAGGGGAAATGAGGTTAAAGATCCAGATCCAAGGGAAACTGGGGTCAAAAATTCAGGGGAAATTAAGGTCAAAAATCCAGGTAAAACTGGGGTCAAAAATTCAGGGGAAACGAGGTCAAAAGTCCTGAAAATTAAGGTAAAAAATTCAGGGGAAATGAGGTTAAAAATCCAGATCCAAGGGAACTGGGGTCAAAAATTCAGGGGAAACAAGGTCAAAAATCCAGGTAAAACTGGGGTCAAAAATTCAGGGGAAATGAGGTCAAAAATTCAGGTTAAACTGGGGTCAAAAATTCAGGGGAAACAAGGTCAAAAATCCAGGTAAAACTAGGGTCAAAAATTCAGGGGAAATGAGGTTGAAAATTCAGGTTAAACTGGGGTAAAAAATTCAGGGGGCACAAGGTCAAAAGTCCTGAAAATTAAGGTAAAAAATTCAGGGGAAATGAGGTTAAAAATCCAGATCCAAGGGAAACTGGGGTAAAAAATTCAGGGGAAATTAAGGTCAAAAATTCAGGTAAAACTGGGGTCAAAAATTCAGGGGAAACGAGGTCAAAAGTCCTGAAAATTAAGGTAAAAAATTTAGGGGAAATGAGGTCGAAAATTCAGGTAAAACTGGGGTCAAAAATTCAGGGGAAACAAGGTCAAAAATCCAGGTAAAACTGGGGTCAAAAATTCAGGGGAAATGAGGTCAAAAGTCCTGAAAATTAAGGTAAAAAATTCAGGGGAAATTAAGGCAAAAAATCCATGTAAAACTGGGGTCAAAAATCCAGGGGAAAAAAATCCATGTAAAACTGGGGTCAAAAATCCAGGGGAAACGAGGTCAAAAATCCTGGAAATTAAGGACAAAAATCCAGGGATAATAAGGTCAAAAATCCAGGGGAAATGAGGTCAAAAATCCAGGGAAATTAAGGTAAAAAATCCTGGAAATTAAAGTAAAAAATCCAGGTAAATCTGGGGTCAAAAATCCAGGGAAATTAAGGTCAGAAATCCAGGGAAATCAAGGTCAAAAAAAGAGATTTTTTTCTTCAGCTGGAATGATGTAGGATATTAGGAATAAATCTCAGGTTGATTTTGGAGCGGTGTTTTTTTGGGGGAGAAATGAGGGATTCCATTCCTATCACCAGCAATTTTCCCTTTCAGCAGTGATTTGGGAATTTTCCCTTCCCAAATTCTTCTGGGAATGAATTAATTCATTGGGAAGAACGAATTAATTGGAATCACCTTGAAAATGTCGCTGTTGCAGGGTTCTGGTTGATGATTAAAATCAAAAAGAAATCAATATATCTACATATAATTGGTATTTTTTTCTCTGAGATATTTCAGATATTCACCATTAATGGAAGTACAGGGAGAATTGCCCCAAATCCTCTGTTCCTAAACACAGAAAAACCAGAGATTTCAGCAAAAATGGGAGGAAAAAAGAAGGATTTGGGACTCACCAGAGGTCGGGGTTATCTGCACTGTTGTCAATGCTGAATTGCTCAATTTCTGGTCCTACCTGAGCCACAAACTTGGCGAGTTTCTCTGCAGTTTCCATGGTTTTGGCATCCACTGCAAGGAGAAAAAAATGTTCTGTTGGGAAAGGTCAGTGCAGCTGAGAACCACTCACTTCATAAACAGAGAATAAAAGAAATCGTGTTTGGGGTTTTCCAGCAGAAATCCTTTTTTTTTTGTGGATTGCAGAAGTTTGATTTTCCTGGACACAATTTATAATTTCAAATCTAATTGGGGTTTCCAGCAGGAATTTTTTTTGTGGATAACTGCACAGCAGGAGATGTTTGATTTTTCTGGACACAATTTAAAATATCAAACTTAACTGGGGTTTTCCAGCAGGAATTCTTTTTGTGGATTGCAGAAGTTTGGTTTTCCTGGACACAATTTAAAATATCAAACTTAACTGGGGTTTTCCAGCAGAAATCCTTTCTTGTGGATTGCAGAAGTTTTGATTTCTGTGGACACAATTTAAAATTTCAAACCTGAGTTTTCCAGCAGAAATTCTTTTTGTGGATTGCAGAAGTTTGGTTTTCCTGGACACAATTAAAAATTTCAAATCTAATTGTGGTTTCCAGCAGAAATTCTTTTTTGTGGATTGCAGAAGTTTAATTTTCCTGGACACAATTTAAAATAAAAAATCTAAGTGGGTTTTCCAGCAGGAATTCTTTTTGTGGATTGCAGAAGTTTGGTTTTCCTGGACACAATTTAAAATATCAAACCTAACTGGGTTCTCCAGCAGGAATTCTTCTTGTGGATTGCAGAAGTTTGGTTTTCCTGGACACAATTTATAATTTCAAATCTAATTGGGGTTTCCAGCAGAAATTCTTTTTGTGGATTGCAGAAGTTTGGTTTTCCTGGACACAATTAAAAATTTCAAATCTAATTGTGGTTTCCAGCAGAAATTCTTTTTTGTGGATTGCAGAAATTTGATTTCTGTGGACACAATTTAAAATTTCAAACCAAATGGGCTTTCCAGCAGAAATTCTTTTTGTGGATTGCAGAAGTTTGATTTCTGTGGACACAATTTAAAATTTCAAACCTGAGTTTTCCAGCAGAAATTCTTTTTTGTGGATTGCAGAAATTTGATTTCTGTGGACACAATTTAAAATTTCAAACCTGAGTTTTCCAGCAGAAATCCTTTCTTGTGGATTGCAGAAGTTTGATTTCTGTGGACACAATTTAAAATTTCAAACCAAGAAGGAAATTTCCAGCAGGAATTTTTTGTGGACAACCGCACAACAGGATAAATTTAATTTTCCTGAACACAAAACTTCAAACCCAACCCCACATTTCCTTTCTGCCCTGCTTGCATCCCTAACCCCAAATCTAACCCCAAGCCCTCACTCACCATCGGGAAACTGAGAGCCCAGGGCAGGGAGGAGCTCTGCTGATGCTGAGAATTCCTCGGGATGTGTTTTTTGCTCCGCGGGCACCGGGATCTCGGAGCTGCTGGCGCCTGGGGCGGCCGAGGTGACGTCCAGGGCAGGGATCTGCTGAGGATCTTCCAGGGAAATCTTCCCCTGCCCTGAACCTGGAAGATTTTTGTCCTGGTGCTTCAGCACCGTCCCAGCTGACAGCACAGTCTGAGTGCCCGTGGTTCTCCTCACCTTCCTGGCTCTGCTGGCGCGGAGAGGGAGAATTCCAGGTTTTTTTTTCCTTTTGAAAAGCTTCCTTTTGATGCTGGCGACTCTCCTGGCATAAAGCATGGCCCGGAGGGACTCTGGGGCAGCTCCTTCCCCAGCCAGGCTCCTCCTCTGCACCTCTGACAGCCTCAGCCTGTAATATTTGTACTCCAGGCTCTCCTCGTCGGACAGGAACCTGAAAAACAGGGAAAAGAGAGGGAAGATCAGCTGAAAAATCTTCATTTTTTTAAAGTAAAAGCCCCTCAGCGATCCAGTTTTGGTTTGTTTTTTCTTTACCCCAGGTGTTTAGAGTGAGGCAAAGCAGGTTTTTCTGGGAATAACAAGCAGCAAGGAAAGTGTGCCAAGGAAATGAATAATTGAGAGGTTTGACGGGAATCGTTTGGGTAATTAATCAGCTCATACACCAAGAGGTGCTGTCACACACCTGGAGATGTCTCAGCTCCCCCTTTCCCAAGGTTTTCCCTGGAATTCGAAATCCTCTTACCTTGCTGGATGTCTCCAACCACCTGAATTTGCTCCTAAAATGCAATTTCCTTTTAACACCTTGGATTTGGATCGACAAAGAGCCATTATTGGCACATCAAAAGCAGCAACACAAACACCAGGATCACTTCCAGGGACAGCAGGGATAATTAACTCCAGGAAAACATTCCCCCCACCACCCCCCAATAAAAAAAAAACCCAAAAAAAAGATGATTAAATACACAACAGGCTTTGATCTTTCCCACTGAGTGAAAGGCTGAAGTTTTAATTACAGCCACTCCAAATATCTCACCCGGTTCCCACACACCCACCAAAATTCGGGAGAGTTCTTCTGAGCGTTCCTGTCTTTGGCAGACAAAGTTCCTGACACGATGCTGGTCACCAGCTGCTCAATTGTGTCCAAAACTTTCCTGTCAGCTCGTTGGGGGGCTGTGGGGAGAAATAAAAAACAATCAAAAACCTGCTCGTTGTTTTATTCTCATCAGCAGAGCAGCGAGATGTTGGAATTTTTATTTATTTTATTTATTTCTGTATTTTCACATGGTTTGGTTTTTGCAGTTTTCCCAGGTGTTTGCGGGGAACAGAACCCCAGGATGGGTGGGATGGGATATTTGGAGATCCCAAATCCAAGCTGGAGCAGGTGACACAGAAATGGGGTTGGGATGTCCCCAAATGAAGGTTCAGGTTCCATCCCACAGCTTGGCCACTTCCATGGAAAAACCAAAAAATCTTCCTGAAATGGAGGTGGAACTCGTTGTGCTTTGGTTTCCCTTGTCCTGGCACTGGGAAGAGCCTGGCACCACCCTCTGGACACTTTTTGGGGATATTTGTGTGGATTTTGGGGATCCCCTCTCAGCCTTTCCTTCTCCAGACCCCAGATAATTTCTGGAGCCTCTCCTGGTGCTCCTGGAGCCCAGAACTGGACATTCCAGAGGGAGAGGAGAGGGGCATGATCCCCTCCCTGAAAATTTCCCTTCCTGATGGAAATGCTCTTCCCAAAGCACCCACACTTTTCCAGTGCATCCATCCCAAACTAAAACAAATCAGGGAAAACGCTAAATTTTAACTGAGACCCTGCACCTGGTCATCATTAAAAAACACCCTGGTCTGAAAAATACATCCATGGCCATGCTGGGCAAGTGAAATCATCCTTAAAAAGGCAATTTCTTCCTGCAGCAAAAGGATTTTGTGGAAAATCAGCTTATTTGAACGCTGCTCCAAAGGGCTGAGTGACAAATTTCCAACCATTCACCCCAAAACCCCCCTGAGGCTCGGTGAGGGAAAATCCAGGATGAATTAGGGAAAATCCAGGATGTTTTAGGCAGGAGGAATCACTGGCCCAACTCAGTGATGGGATATGAACACCTCCAAAGGAATGGAGATGATTAAAGCGGTGATGGTGATGTCTCCATATTTGCATATATGCAAATATTTCCTCTGTAATCAAGCCAGTCCCAGGCTGGTCCCTGCCTTGAGGTGAAAATCTTGGATTTAAGGTTTAAACAGGTGCCAGAAAGAGAAGGAAGGGCACGATTTCACCACAGGAACTCCAACAGACTCCCTGCTCCAGACATGGGTGGGATTCTCCCGGAATTCCCTCCCTGTCCCAGCTCTGATTTGGATCCATCTGGAATTCCCTCCCTGCTCCAGCCATGGCTGGGATTTAGGATTTACCAGCCCTGGCTGGGATTTAGGATTTACCTGGAATTCCCTCCCTGCTCCAGCTCTGATTTGGATTCTTCTGGAATTCCCTCCCTGCTCCAGCTCTGGCTGGGATTTACCTGGAATTCCCTCCCTGCTCCAGCCCTGGCTGGGATTTAAGCCCTGGCTGGGATTTAGGATTTACCTGGAATTCCCTCCCTGCTCCAGCTCTGATTTGGATTCTTCTGGAATTCCCTCCCTGCTCCAGCTCTGGCTGGGATTTACCTGGAATTCCCTCCCTGTCCCAGCTCTGATTTGGATTCTCCTAGAATTCCCTCCCTGCCCCAGCCCTGGCTGGGATTTAGGATTTACCTGGAATTCCCTCCCTGCTCCAGCCCTGGCTGGGATTTACCTGGAATTCCCTCCCTGCTCCAGCTCTGATTTGGTTTCTCCTGGAATTCCCTCCCTGCCCCAGCCATGAGTGGGATTCACCTGGAATTCCCAGAGTCAGGAATTCCTGACCTAAGGATGAAACACATCCTGCAGAGCACCTCCCTGCCCTCTCCCCTCCCCGTTACCTTTGGTGTCGGGCGAGGCTGCTTTGAGCTGCTCCGTGGGTTCCGCCTCGGCTCTCTTCATCTGGATGGGGTATCCGCTCTTCTCCAGCCAAGCCTTCAGATTCTCAATGTACTCCCTCCCAAACAGCGTGGAATCATCGAAATTCGGGAAGGACGTCGGCGCCGGAGCCATCTCCTGGAGCCCCACAGCCTCCAGGATTTTCTCCTGCCTGAAAACAGAGGCCAGAGCAAAGGTCTGGCCCAGCAGAGCCAGGGATTTTCGGCAGAGGGACACGGTGGTCTCGAAGGCGTTGGCCATTTCCCTGGGATTGCCGAAGCCGTTGGTTTTAATGCTCAGCTCGTAGGCGTTGCAGGCCATCAGCAGCGGCGTCACCCCCTTGAGGAGGCGGTCCTGGAGCCTCATGATGTATTTATCGAAAGGTTTGATGATCTCGAAGAAGCAATTCTTGGTTTTCACCGCCCCCTTGTCCAGCAGCATGTTCAAAAACTCGTTGTCCACCTTGGGGGTTTTCAGGGCGGCGTGCTGCAAGCTCTTGATGGTGAAGAAGCAATAATCTCTGTGCTCTGGCCTCAGGGAGCACTTGAAGGAGGCCAGCATTTTGGCACAGGTCTCAGTCTCCAGCTCGAAGAGGGCCCCGAAGAGGCGCGAGAACTCGGCGTCGTTCTTGACGGCGTGGAACCCGGCCCACTTGATGATCTCGATGCCGAAGGTGGAGAAAATGTCAGATTTATCCACCAGGTCGAAGTTGAGGTTCCTGAAGACGTGGGCGGGCTTTGGCAGCCTGAGGATGGGTCTCTGGGCTGCCAGAGGGTGTGGGGGCAGCTTGGGGTTGGGGCGCTGCTGGAGGGGCACCGGCCTCTGGTTGGGGCGCTCGGCGACTTCCAGAGGCTGATCCAGAGCTTTGGGATCCAGGCCCGGTTTCTTCACGTTCCACTTCTTCAGGGGGCTTTTGACGTCTCCTTTGAACACTTTGGGTTTCACCACCCCCCTGGTCAGGCGCTTCCCCCTCAGGACTCTCCCCCTGCCCACGGCTCCCCTGCGCAGCGGCGGCCGGAACTCGCTGTCCGGCGCCCCGAACTCCGCCTCGTACTCCTGATTTTCCACGCCGCCGTACTCCTCCTCCATCAGCCCGGGAGACCTGAAATCCCCTAAAATATCCGAGGAGCCAAACTCGGCTTCGTGCGGCCCGCTGCCTTCCCAGGAATCCGAGGGGCCGTAATCCTGCCCGTAATCCCGCTCCCGCCCGTATTCCCGGTTCTGCTGTCCGTACTCCCGGTTGTGAGGAGCGGGGTGGTGCCCGTATTCCCTGTTTGGGGCAGCTGCACGCCCAAATTCCCGGTTTTGGGGAGCGGGGCGCCCGTAATCCCGGCCGAATTCCCGCTCCCGGGGCGCGGGGCGGGCGAATTGTTCGTGGAAATAATTCTCCTTGCGGAGCAGGGGGCTGGCGGGTCTGTAGGAAGGGCCGGGATAGTTTTCCCCGGGATAATCTTCCCTGGGATAATCTTCCCTGGGATCCTCGCTCCAGTCCTCGTGCTGGGAGTTGGCGTGAGGGAACCTCCCGTCGCCGTGGAAGCGAGGCCGGGGCAGCGGCCTGGAGTGAGCTGGGAAAACCAAACATTTAGAGGTTTAAAAGAATCAAAATGTCAAAATTTCTGAAGGAAATCCACGTATCTGACTTCAGGATATTCCCATTCCCATATTCCAATCCCTACATGCACTGAGGAGCTCAAGTTCTCCTCTAAATCAAATTTTTCTTTGCTCAAGTCTTGATCTTCCACTGGCGTTCCCGAGGCATAAAAAACATCAAAACTCTGAATTTTCAGCTTTCCCAGAATTCAAATTGTCAAAAACCACCAGGACCACCAACTCCAAGGTTTGGCCAATCCTCACCTTGTCACCCAGACCAGAATTCCCAGGAAAAATTCCACAGCTGGACAGAAACTCGTATCTTCTACAAACTCAACCACAATCATCTCATTATTGCAGGAAATTCTAGCATTTCTCATTATCCAAGATCCTCCTTCCCCAATCCCAAAAGTTTAATTCAGAAAGTAAAGAATGGAAGTGTGTAATATGAATTATTTCTTCAGGGCTCATACAACTCTGAAAATAACAGATTGCATTTTAAAGCTCTCCTATGAACGTCCATCCCTGTGAACGTAATCCAAGTGTCTCGCTGGACATTTTATATCCCAAATTTAAGAGGTAAAATAATTTGGGGACCACGTTTTGCGTTATGTTCATGAGGTCAATGCCCCGCTTTGAGCTTTTTTTCCCCCTAAAATAACACCAAACACAAAGACCCAAAGGCTTCCAGTGCACTCCTACATTTATTTAACTTATCAGCCATCACCAGAATTCCATCCTGCAGCAACATCCCTGGAGACCTGGCTGAAATCGGACCCACTCTCTGATGCTGAACAGCATTCCTTTGTCTGAATTCCCATTTTTTTTCCCCCCTTCACGGTGTCGGTCCTTCCCCAGCTGTTCGCCTCTTCCATAAAAATGGATGTGGAAAAACACCAGCACAAGGCAAATAAATGGCAGGCGACGCGAGGCTGCCGCCGACATCCCGCTCCTCCCTACCTTTGAAATGATGGATGGAGCCCCCCGCGGCATCGCCCCGCTCCATGCGGTACCGTTTAACTTTGTCCTGCACCACGGCCTCGAACGTCTCGCGGGTGATCCTCCGAGAGGCCATTTTCCCCTCACGACGCCCGGGGTACGGCACGGCCTGACGCGGGCCCGGGGTCCCGCCGCGGCCTGAGGGGAGGCGCAGCCTGAGGGGAGCCTCACGCTTCCCCGCCGCCACCCGCGCAGCGCCGGGAGGAGGAGC